TGAGGTTTTACTGTTAGGCAGAACGACGGATGTTTAACGGAGTACTGCCAACACCTCTTCTTTCTCGACGAACTCCTTTCTGAAATGTCGTTAGATTTTTAATAAATCTATTTATACTGCTTTTGTCTTAGTTCGCTTAACCAGTTACGTCATGGATATTAAATGACATCTTTTATCAAGCCGAACTACGCAGGTACTGTGAATGATTAGTGTCACTAAATTTATTCTTGCTCGACTGTGTAATTAGATGACATTTGGTAAGCATACTTATAACATCTGTTCATGGCTACCATGTTCATATATAAAAGTGTAGAAAGACTGTTAGAGGCAGCCCAAAGATCGTTTCTGAGGATGACTGAAAATACAGTGCATAGTTAAAATTACTCAATAAAACTTCTTGACAAAATCCACTAAATAAAACAAACGGTACTAAAAGTATGACTGCTCACCGGACACACCTGCATTAGAGTAAAGTTGTAGCAAACGGTGACAACAAGTAAAATGAAGGACAGGAGAGCGAAACACCGAGGAAATTGCCGGACGGTTCAAGAAACCGGCATGGGAGAGTGGACATCGAAACACCCAATGCGTACTAGTACGGTATTTGATTATTAGGAGTATTAGTAGAAGTATCCTTTTGTACACATTAGGTTATCTATCCTCACCAAAGAAACCGGATATCCACACGTACTATGTGTTAACAAAACTGCTTGCTAATCTGAAAACTTCAGCTGAAGTGAATGTTAAGAAAGCGTTATGACGCGTCCTAGCTGTTTCGACTCTTAGTCAGAACGAAAGAACGTTCTTCTGAGAGATCACGCAGCACGCGCAGAGTAGCCACTCGAATTCGGAATATTGCAGACTAACGGCACCTAGCTACCAGACGTGCACGCGAACTGAGATTGGAGACGAAAACGCGCAACCTAGCTCTACCGCACTGGGACCCGAACAAGGACAATCAACCGACACATCAGTTGTCACACAGTGGTTGTGTCCTGATGAGAAAATATTGTCCGTGTGGTATTGTACGGTAATTACCGCAACGTTCTCAGGACAGTTCACTATAATCGCTGCAGTTGCACAGTACACATGCATCAGGGTCCAGAGTAAAGCTCAGTTGGCTCACTGTGTCAGCTCCGCAACAGAATGTCTGCCCTGCCTGGCTTTCGCACCTTCGTAAACAGCCACTTGCGTGCGCTTAATTCATTTCATTCACCGGTAGTTGCGAGAATAGATTAGCGGGGAGAGAAAGTACCAAAAACTTTTAAAACGCATTTTGGTATTGGTGTTATCACAACCCACTTCTCAAGGCATGGCCCCCCTATAACTTTTTTCATCTCAACGCCCCCCGAGATTCTCTATGACCCCCAGTGGAGCCATAGGGCTCCTGTTGAAAATGGCTGAACTAGAGCACGAAGAACATTCTTTGTTACACCTTCTCAGATTCTGCGGTAGTGTGTTCCACAGAACTGCGTAGCTGTTGAAAGAAAGTCGATCTTAAGCTAGTTCATGCGTTTTAGCGTTGTAACGTGTTATGCCTATTCCTTATATTTTACTTGTGGGAAGGTTGAACTACAACCTTAATGTCTGAGGTAAGGAAACTTTTGTGGATTATATCAAATATGAAGTTCAGCTTAACTTTTAGTCCCCTTAACCACCGAGACTACGCTGAGCGCATCTCTGGATTCAGCGGATATTGTGCGTTCGCTCCGAGCATGTGAGAGCGAACACTTCTAGCCGTTGGTAATGTCACTTTCCGTTGCCTGGATATCAACTTTTGCAGTATCAACTTTGTCCTTTGTCCTAATAAGCTTTTCGTCCTTCGTTTTTTCCAGTTCGGTCACAGAAGCTCTTTAATAAATTTACATTATCTCCATCATCATTACGCGTCAGCTGGAGGTGAGAAACACACTTCAACTAACTACCACAATACAAAATATAACATATATGAGAAGGTGAGATACTAAGCTGTTCATAATACAGAAACTAAAAGGCGAATAATAAATAAACGATTTATTCTCGACGGTGAGAGACTCGCCTTCAAAGGCACGATCACGGTAATACCAACGCGTAACATCAGTATGGCTAAGTGTAATCTTATCAATGTCGTTTAACATTGTTATTGGAGGGGAAGCTAAGCTGGATGGGGACAGACAAAATAATCGCAATACAGACGCCACTGGGGTCGGCTCCTAACCATGTCAAATGCAGTATTCAACCAAACCTGTTCATCGTTCTTCGGACTCCAGCCTGGCAGTCGTGGGACACCAACCGACGCCAATTTCGAAGTGGTGAACTTCATTTTCTTGACTAAGTCATTGCTTGGCCTCCCGTCCTCTTCTTCTATTCAGACCCCAGTGGCGCAAATAATGCACGACACGGGAGTCGGTGTGCTGACCTGTGCAACACGTGACCCAGCGATCGGAGCCTGGTGTTCGATATAACAAGCCTGAGCGGTTCACTTGCTCCTCCTACCCCAACTACACAATGCCGAGCATGCTGCTTGCTCACGAGAAGTCAGCGATGATCGAACATAACTAGACTCTTTATGCATATCGTGCTAATAGGCCAAGTTTCGCAACCGTATAGGAGGATTGGACGGACGGCTGCATTGAAAACTCTGCCCTTCAGGGAGAGAGAGATGTTACACCGATGTCACAGGTGGCGCAAATTGGCAAAAGCATCTCGGGCTTTTCCTATTTGGTTTATGATATCATCTTCTATTCCACCAGCTTTAATGTGGCTGCCAAGGTAGTTGCATTTACTTTTTGATATGGTGCACTCATCCGGATTAAAACGGCCGCTCCCTGTCACATACAGCTCGTGGTGGATGCTGCTCATGCTACGCGTCTGTTGTCACATACATATATATATATATATATTTATTCACAGTCTGTTAACAGACATTGTGCCATCAGAACCATGGCATAAGAAAAAGGTGAAGAAGATGGGGACACTAATGCGATTAAAAAATATGGGAAACGAATTTTTTTGGTTTTACACACGCCATTTTGTATTTTTGTTTTGTTTTGTTAGTTTTTTTGTGTATCAAAGGGATGGTGAAATTGCGGAACAACATTGTCGCCACTGATGTCTGTTGCGGGCCATGACGTCACATACATAGCCTGCGTACTTATGTCGTACTCCTGCAATGCCTCTGCTTTCCGTCTTGTGCGCCGTCCCACCCAGCCGGGGAAAAACAGGAAAAAGTTGTTAGACCGGATATTATTAAGGGCAGAACATGGTTATACTTATACGTCACACGCCATCAGCTCCCACTTTTGGTTGCTGGGCCTATTGCTGTCATCTGTCTGCTCCTATGTAGATGTGTTCACGGTCTCAGTTATGTGGCCGCATCCTCACTCACGCCTGTGCCACAGCCATTCATGTCGGAATGACGAACTGAGTTCGCGGCGCCCCTGGACTACGTTGCAACCTTTGCCGTGTATGGCAAACTGATTTACTCAGATTTCGGTTCGGCCTGCCGCAGGCCCATTTCGCGTCTCGAAACTGCGTTACAGCGTTCGTCCGTTGTGGCACCTAACAACTTTGAACATGGGATCTGCGGCCCAGGTTCACCTTAGGCTTTCCTGCGAACAGCTATGGTTTGTTCAAATGGCTCATTCATAATGTGCCATCCAGCATCCGAGTAAACATGGAATCGCACACGATCTGTATTAGTTATTACGATCGAGTGCACTCTGTGCCCCAAGGCCGCCTCTAAACGGCCACCTGTTGTTCATATAAGATATCTCATAATGGCTGATAACCATACCACCATTTTGAATTATGCGATTCATTTCAGTAAGAGATGCACAGCGAATAATGCGTGAGTTTTTATATAGAAAATTGGGATAGGATGTGCTGCCTTTCAACGCGCCCGCTACTACTCCTCATACAGTTGACTCATCATGGCGGTTAAGAGTCCAGCGACTACGACAATAGAACTCGTCTACTGACCGAGTAAAAGAGGAGTACCACACAGCTTTCGCCAGTAAAGGGAACAGGATACCACTGCGTAACCGACTGCTGTGCGTGGTGAAGCATGGTTCAGCCGTCGAAGTGCGGCGAGAAGTTGTCCAAGAATCTCGTCTACAGCCTCTCTGGGCTACCATTTCAACTCGATAATCCCAAGCTTCTTGTAGTGAATGATCAATCTTGAGCGAAACATGATGCATAGCGCCTGGTGACAGACGAAACGAGACCCCAGCGCACAAACGAACAAGATGCATGTGTTAAGTGGTTCCAATTTGTCACGGGAACGTTGCGATAATTTCACGTTGGGCGGAATCCTGGCGGGTACAAGCTTTACCAATATTGCACACTTCGTGGAGTATTAACTTAAGGACTTACATGCATTGTGTCATGCGTGTCCCAAATATTTTACACGCACGCTGCGTCCTTGGTCATGCAACTGGACTTCAGTTACTGGTACAGCCTCCATCTACCTAGGTAAGTGTATAGAAAATCGCCTACCTACTTTCCCACGATGGGTAGCGATTATCTTATCCAAGTCAATGGAACAGATCAAGATGATCATGGAGTGGATCTGTATCTCCGATTCAGATAGAGATGTCCACTGCATGAAGACACCAACGACTTCGTTATACATTTCGCTTGTTTGGTGATTTCACAGCCCTGCTTCCGTGTTATCCGGTGCAGGGGCTCTGCTAAATAATTATATATATTCTGTGGCCTTTCTGGCCTTTCTGCTTGCCACCCGTTCACTAGACGAACAAATTGAGTATAAATACTTGTGCAAGCTGTAATTAACTATCACAGTTGAGGAAGAGAACAAGTGACAGAAAGAAACCAGTGGCTTCATAAAGGATTGAATGAATGCATGCTGCAAATAAGCGGAAATTCGGCAAAGTGAAAACCGTTGCCAAGTTCGTGAAAGAGAACAGGCTTAGCTCTAGAACCGAATAAAGTGAAAAATCATGTCCTACAGAATAGGGATGGAATACTTTCACATATATTGGCAGTCGAACCAGCAGTATTCAAGCCTCTACAGACTGCTGTCTTTGACTCCACAACGTACCCTTACACGAAGGCTTCTTACTCGATTTGCGTTTCCGCTTGGGGTAATTAATGCGCCGGGGTCGGGTCGAAACAGATGGGCTGCATGATTTGGAGAGAGCTGGGGATCGCTGATATTGCCGCGCAGGCCAATAGTTCCATTCTGCACCCCGATGCGAATTGGAATGCGTTAACTGATGTGCGCTATCGAGGGCTCGTCTGCAGTAGTATACTGTATATGGCATACTTGGGAGTGACGGATGTTCCCAATTGAATTCAGTACTTTGATGGGGTGTTGCCGATTTCCTTGGATTAAAGCCTGAGCGATTGGAAGGGCTTTTCTTCCAACCAACCACTCTCTCAGTCTGAACTCCTTTATTGTTAAAACCATCTCCAGAGTGCAAGGTAAATTTCTCACTTTGCTTTCGAGCCCTACGCATATGCGTCAAAGTTCGCCCTGTTTGTCCCTCTGCGTACAATCCTCCAACACTTAGGTCCGCACTAGATCGTTTCCTAGCCTTCTCACGCTTCACGCGCTCCGTCTGAGCAGTTATACGCTTGGGGAAAACAGACTGAGTTCCTTGTAAAGAGTGCACTGACGCTTTAGCAGCCTGTGAGAGTGCGTCAGGAGTTACTAGACCCACAACGAAGTGAGGCGACATGGGCATGTCTAATTCCTCACTACCAAATAACGTTTGGTGTGATTTCATGTGTTTGGAGTTAGACAACCTTTTAAACAGCAGATAACTTGAAGTCTTATTCGATGGAGGTGGGCAGGACTGGGAAAGGGGTGTGACGTTCATGCGCGTACTGCTGTGAGCGTGAGTATGATTTGCTCCGTTGACTGAACTTCCTGTCACTCTTGCAGACTCTCTAGCTGATTTACATGTAAAATCTCGGGTTTCTTGTGGTGTGTGTGAACAAATCCTAGTATTGGAAACGTAGCCACGACTCTGTAAGATAGTCTGTCTGACTCCGTGTCGCGTAGCTTCATCCGGATGTTTCACTTTTTCCGCTACACTTTTCAACAGAACACGGAACTCTGGATTAATCCCTGTATCCATATTCTCTCCCACGACCCTCATAGAGTGTAAAATCCTCTCAACGACATTCGAGAGACAGGGAGTATCCACATGTAGTGAGTCATTCTCCGCTTGTAACTGTCGGACAATCACATCCTCCGTATGTGGGGCAGGGGGAACCGATTCTACGGACTCTGTTGTGAAATTAGTCCCAATTGAATCATTTGCATCAGGACAAGCGTCTGAAGAATTGGTTTCACTTTTGCCAAAATTTGTCACGGTATTCGGAGTAGGAAGTTGTTTACCTCGTCTATCCGATGTCACCATGATAGAATTAATCTCAGATCCAGAGCTCCAAGAGGTAAGTCTAGAAAATAGAGGTTTCCTACTGGCATAGTCCAGAATGAGGGATCGATTGATTCCATTGAATAGCCTTTCTTTAGGCCACTCCATTAGCCATAAAGTGAACACAAACAGGAATCAAGGAGACATGCTAGTTCCCCTCCATTTATCTCACATATCCATGACCCAGGGTCTCGCTAGCCTGTAGATATGACACATGACTTTGTCTTATCGATCTCTACGGTTTAAATGAAGTTGGGTTGTCCTTTGGCAGGAACTGATGAGGCACTATATGCTTTCCTTTGGATCACTTGTCGGCCATGCTGTATAATAATGGGTGAGACTAGTTAGGTCCACTGAAGAGGGAAAACTTAGTGCCCACTAACTGCTGAGATAGAATGGAGGAAATATACTTCAGTGAAAGGATTATCACCTTTTAACTTGTCCGTCGGCCTCAAAGGCACGAAACTGTTACCGAGGAAACAATATGGACGTGAAAGACTTTGAATCGGCTTTGGGTCAACGCATTACAAATTATAGCTTCCAATGGTATTTGAGTAGTTGAACAGTCGAGGTACTCTAGTGTCCCGGGTCGTTCTGTTATACCGCGCTTAACTGTATTTCATTCCGGTGCTTACACACCTTACGCTACTCGTTCATTTGTTCCTAACTATTGTTATCCAATACCATCTGATTCCTGTTTCTATGACTGTACTTCCGCTGGTTTCAATAGCGAACCCAGAGGTAGCGCAGTGGCTCTCTTTTGGCCTCAATCCTCGCTGCGTCTGGCATCCTTTAATGTACTCGCATTCATGCAGATCGGACAACAGTCTGGTCTCGCGAGTACATCGGAATTCCTAGCCATCGAGAGTCGCTGTCCTTCTGAGACCCGGTTTCAAGATCCCAGTACTTTGACTGGGTTGATATCTCCCACCAACCGCAGAGCCATATTTCTTCTTCGTCTGTCTGCTCACAAAGTAGCAGCCGCGGCAACTTTGGTTAGCGTCCGCATAGCACTAAGGAGCAAATGCGAGGCCGCATTGCTGGAATGGTGTTCGAGTAGCAGCCGACTATGCAATTCGGCTTCGGGGGTCACATGTTATCAACAGGTGTCGTGAGGAGAGACGTAACTTGTTTGTGATCTCAGCGACTGCAGTTGTGACTCGGTCAATGACGATTTTTATCCAGAACTTCACCAGCTCTTGAGCAGCGTTTGTAAATCCGATGGTAGTGTACTTGTTAGGTATCTCAACGCATGAGTTTACCGTCTATTAACGTGTGAAATTCACCTCGGTGTTCACCCTGCGCTCTATGATGGCTGATCAGATAATGGAGAGAAATTTCTCACAATGTGTGAAGACAAGCGTCTGTTTCTCTCGAACACCAGATTTAGGCAATCGAAATGTTCACTACTTGGCGTCACCCAGTCATGTTCTCAGATCGATCATATCGCAATTAGTTACAAATGGCTGGGTTGTGTGAAGAATTTCGGACCAATCTGGTCCGCGTTTCTCCCCTCAGATCATACTCTTGTTTTTCAAACGTTTGCACGAGTTTCAGAGAGTGCCTGATGAAGAAAGTGAGCTATCAATCTTCCCTGGCGGGTGCATCGAGCTGCGACCCACTGCAAAACACTGATGGTCACTGACCTTTCATGCAGAGGACGATAACCGTTTCCGGACAGTCAGTATGTGGTCTTACTCAGCGCCCTATGGAGGCCTGAATCGCCACGCGCACCATGTATCTATTTGGCCTCCGCAGGAATAACCCAGAAGAGTCTAATCATAATGAATTGTGACGTTCCATCAGTCAGCAGCTCAAACGAAGCCTACGCAGTGATCGTGAAGCCTGGTGGTCTCAAGGTGCTTCGGAAATGAAGGTCACTTCTATCTCTGGCAACACTCGCAAGCTTTTCCAGCTCATTCGATTCGCCGGACACGAGAAGCCTGGTGCCAGTGAGACTGTTTGCTAAGATGATGTTTAGCCGCTTGATAACTTACAAAGACGCTTGGCTAGATGGGCCGAACATTTTCATACCTAGTTCATTTGGCCCTCATGTTCCAGTAGTATTCTCTACAAACCTAGCTACTCACCCTGGGTAGTCGCAGTTTATCCACCCAGCAAAGCGGAAGTTTGTCTTGCGATGCCGTATTTAAAGCGATTCAAGGCTGTGCACTGTTGAAGGTGCACAGCATAAACACCTTGATAGCTTTTGTATACCTGCACAACTGTGTGCCTGCTGGTGGCGCCATTAGCAAGGAAATTTTTCTCCTCATGGTATTAACTCTGTCGGCATTTGTCAATCTGAAACACTTGTGGCGTCGTTGGCATGTCTCAGTCTTGGTAAAGAATCGTGCATACAATGCCACTGTTCGGGAGGTGTTGCAATATGGTAGGGAGTTTGCGTAGACGACATGTGCCGGCGCTCGACATTCGCTAGGGGGTGCTTGAGAAAAATTGCCCGTGTGATTGACAAAAATATATCTACATCGGTGAAATCAGATGTTCTGTCTTAGGGATGCGAGTATACTGCTGGTATGTCAGCGGAGCATGTACCCAATTGCGCCCTTTCGCTCGTGAAGTACTTCGCTGGAAGAGACCACATAGGGATCAACCGTCCACCTGGAGACAAGATATGAAATAGTTGACTTCACTTCTTGAAGCCGTTGGATCCACGCGCCCGCATAATTGGGGACCAAAGGACGAGGAGTGCTGATGGCTGTTAACAATCCAAGATATGGTGCGCAATCGAAGCCTGTGGAAGATTTGCGTAGGTGCTTGTTTAGATGCAGACAAGCAATGCTTAAAAAATTGCAATAAGAAAATAACAAAGAATGTTCTATTCTTTTATTGCGGCACACCAGCTGAAGTGTGTTGTTCACCTTCACCCAAAGTGTTATGATAGTGATGCGGCGACTCTACTTGTCGCCCGCTGATTTCCACGGGAGGCTTGCCCTGCACGGCCCACAGAGCCATCCACACATCTCATACCCAGTGTAAACTCGAGGGAATAAGACTAGAAAACATGTGGATGGGAGCCAAGTTCCACCGACCGAGCCGGCCCACACTACTGCAACCTGCACAGCAGCAGCATTCCTCACTATGTGTGGGATCGTGCCTACCAGACGTAGACAAGTCGATGGCTGCGCCGTAGTCCGCTCCACACTGGATGGAAGGACATTTTGAGCCTAGCAAGGGCACGAGGATCGTGCACACTGTCACTCCAAGTAACGTTTACCACGCCCCCTGGAGCCAGTAATTTAGGGGGAGTGTGTTCGAGAAGTAGGCACTTTGTCAAGATTCAAGTCAAGCGCAACGACATCGGGCGTATGGAAATAGAATTCAAAGGAAAACAAACGCAAAAATGACAAGGAATAGGATATGGTTGGCTGCATCCAGTTTCGGATTTACCCGTCACTATGGCCAGCCACAGGATGCCTGCGCCTACAGAGTGACCATGGGTGGTTTGTGCTGCTCCACACACAGCTCCATCCACACACCCCATATCCAGTGTAAACCCGAACGAATAAGACTGGGAGGTATGTGGATGGGAGCCACGTTTCATCAAATGATCCGGCCCACACTCCTTCACAGGCAAACACAAGCACGCTGTATTTGGGAATCAAGCGCACACAAGCCGGTGGCTGGACCGTAGTCCGCCCCACACTGAATGCATGGAACCACTCTTCGAGCCTAACACGGCCACAAGGACCGTGCACCTCGTCCACTCCAGCAACGACCAACTGTCTGCTGGATCCAGTATGGACGAGGTAGTAGGTAATAGACAGGTAGGCACCTTGTCAACATGCACATCAAGCGCAGCCACACCTGGGATATCAAACAACAGCCAATCATTCGAAATGCCGATAACGAATAAAGTAAACACATATGACGACATAAATACTCGTAAAATGAGCAAATGGAAGTAATTGGTTAAAGGTGAATACGCGATAAGTAGAAAATGTCCGAAAGTTATTTAAAAAGCTCCATGCGATAAAATTACGCAAGTTTACCATAGTTTGCATGAGCGACGTGTGCAAGTAAGGAGAGGATAATGAAGTACGCAGAACAAACTAAATAACGTGGAATGAATTGTATCCACATTAAAAAGACTTAGACCGAGTGAAGGTTGGTTAACCCAACTGCGGTGA